AACCAGGAGTGCAGATCAACACAGAAAATTTTTCCCCAATTGATTTTTTTTATTTATTTTTCCCTGATAGTTTCCTTCAGTCAATTGTCGATCAAACCAACCTATTTGCCCAACAATTTATTGCAGCCAACCCCAATTTGTGTTATGCCCGTCCATTCGAGTGGAGACCGCTAACACTAGAAGAGCTTAGATTGTTTTTGGGCCTTACGGTCAACATGGGGCTTACAAAAAAAAATGTACTACATTCATATTGGTCCACCCACCCCATCCATCACATTCCCATATTTTCATTCGTAATGTCCAGGTCACTTTATGATATGATAATGCGTTTCCTGCATTTCAGTGATAATTCCCAGTGCCCTCCCCGAGATCAGCCAGGCTTTGACAAACTGTACAAAGTTCGCCCCCTAATTATTTTTTTTTCTAGAATATTTTCTGAAGTTTATGTCCCTGACCAAAACATCTGTGTGGACGAATCTCTTATCCACTTTACTGGCCGGCTGGGAATTAAGCAATACATGCCCAGTAAGAGGGCCAGGTATGGACTTAAGCTCAACAAGCTGTGTGAAAGTGCCACGGGTTATGTGCATTCCTTTCGCATGTATGAAGGCAAAGACTCCCACCTTCAGCCCCCTGGGTGCCCAACCTACATTGGCATAAGTGGCAAAATTGTCTGGGACCTGGCCTTTCCACTCCTCCAAAAGGGGTATCACATCTATCTTGACAATTATTATACAAGCCTGCCCCTTTTCCGCCACCTGTACCTTGAAAAAACAATGGCCTGCGGTACTGTCCGACCAAACAGGAAGGGCTTCCCACAAAGTTTAATTAGAACGACTCTACAAAGAGGGGAATCTGCAAGTGTTAGGAACGAGGAAGTGCTGGCCGTGAAATGGAGGGATAGGAGAGATGTTTATGTCCTGTCCACAATCCATAATGACATCATGGTGGACATTCAGAGAAGACGAGGGGAAGTCCAAAAGCCAGAGTGTATCTTCAATTATAATCAATTCATGGGGGGGGGGTGGATTTAAACGATCGCATGCTGCAGCCATACTTACCAACAAGGAAGACCCTCTACTGGTACAAAAAAGCTGCAATATACATTTTCCACATGGCAATTTATAATTCATATATAATCTATCAAAAATCAACTGAAAGACCTAGCCACCTCTTCAAATACACTGAAGATGTCATCACTGCCCTAATCTATCAGCAAGGATCTCCACCACAAATCATTCGCTCCGATTGTGTCAGCAGACTGCATGAACGCCATTTCCCTGAGAGAATTCCACCATTAGAAACAGGAAGAAGACGTCGAAAAACATGTAAGGTATGCAGCAGAAGGGGAATTAGGAAAGACACCAGTGTTCATTGTCCCCAATGTCCCTCCCAACCAGGCCTATGCTTTGAAGACTGCTTCAAACGTTATCACACTATAATAAGATATTAGTTCCCCATATTTTCAACAGCCTACAACTTCCCCATTTTTGTTATCTGTGCTGATCTTTTGCCTACTGCCATGATTTATCATGCCTCTGCCTTCTACCTTAACTGACCCTGGCCTGTTTACCGACAATGCCTCTGCTTGCCGTCTGAATTGCTTCTACACCACATTTCTGCTTTTCACCAAAACTGACCATGGCTTGTTTATCGACTATGCTTCTGCCTGCCGTCTGGATTATCAACCATGTTTATGCCTTTTTCCTGGACTGACCTTGGCCTGTTAAATCGACAATGTTTTTTGCCTGCTGCTTGGATTGATCTTTTGCCCTGCTACTGCAGTAGTGGGATTCAAGATAACACAGGGGTCTCGCATATGTGAGGGGCTTCAGAATAGATAAAAACCAGTTTTTGGTTTTCTCCGGGTTTTGTTAGTCCCGGAATAGGGTCTGTTGTCCGGAGGCTTAGAAGAGATTGGGTGGGACGAAGCCTCTACCCCTGTGCCCCAGTCCTACCTGATCAAGGCCCTAAGCCTGATGTTCCTGTCTGCTGCCTGGACCAATACTTTGGCTGTGCTGACCATATCTCCTCTTGCTACCTGTACTGACCCAAAACTTTCGGGCCATGTTCCTGCCTGCTGCCTGGACCAATACTTTGCATGGACCAATACAAACCAACACAGGTTAATCATATCTCTGCTTGCTGCCTGTACAGACCTAGGACTTTTTATGGACCATGTTCCTGCCTGTTGTCTAGGACCAATATTTTGGCTGTGCTGACCATATCTCTGCCTGCTGCCTGGACTGACCTAGGACTTTTTATGGACCATGTTTCTTCCTTCTACCTGGATCTCAGCCTGCTGCCTGTTCTGACCCTGGCTTGTTTATCCACTATATTCCTGCCTGCTGCCTGGTCGAATCCTGTTGCTGTTGCCTGCTTCCTGGTCCAATGCTCTCCTAAAACCATAGGTAATCTTTTGCTTATCCTTTCTTTAGCTGTAAAAAAGTTTCAGATTGTGGTATTGTCATGTTCAGGAGGAGTAGTAAAATGTATTTTTGAGTATAGAAGAAATATCCTATCAATTGACAACTTTGTGTAAAAAAAAAAAATACTTTTTCATTTTTTTTCCACATTTTCTAAAAACTTGTGGAAAAAAATAACATGTTCAAAAAACTCATTATGCCTGATACATACCTTGGGATGTTTGCTTTCCAAAATGGGGTCATTTTGTGGGTGTTTCTACCATCCTGGTGCTCCAGGGCCTTAAAAACTGTGATAGGGAGTCAGAAAATTAGATGTGTAATTTATGCCCCTTTTATGCTCCTAGAATGCATGGAGGTGCTACTTGGATGTTGGGTCTCTGTATGTGGCCAAGCTGCGGAAAATTCTCACACATGTGGTATCGCCATACTCAGAAGGAGTAGCAGAATGCATTTTGGGGCATAATTCTTGGTATGTACATGCTGTGTGTTAGAAATATCTTAGAAATTGACAACTTTGTGTGAAAAAAAAAAGTTTTCATTTTTCTTTCCACATTTTCTAAAAACATTTGGAAAAAAATAACCCGTTCAAAAGACTCATTATGCCTGATAGAATATACCTTGGGATGTTTGCTTTCCAAAATGGGGTCATTTTGTGGGTATTTCCACTGTCCTGGTGCTCCAGGGCCTTCAAAACTGTGATAGGGAGTCAGGAAATTAGATGTGTAATTTATTCCCCTTTTATGCTCCTAGAATGCATGGAGGTGCTACTTGGATGTTGGGTCTCTGTATGTGGCCAAGCTGCAGAAAAGTCTCACACATGTGGTATCGCCATAATCAGGAGTAGCAGAATGCATTTTGGGGTGCAATTGCAAGTATGTCTATGCCAGGTGTGAGAAATAACTTGTTATTTTGTCAATTATGCGTGAAAAAAAAAAAAAAAAAATTTATTCATTTTCCAAAGAATTGTGGGAAAAAAATTACAACTTCAAATAACTCACCATGTCTTTTACTAAATACTTTGGACTGTCTATTTTCCAAAAAGGGGTCTTTTGGGGGCTATTTGTACTTTCCTAGCATGTTAGGGCCTCAAGAAATGAAATAGGCCATCAGTGCTTCATGTGTGATCAATTTGCAATGATTGGTGCCATAGCTTGTAGACTTTATAACTTTCACACAGACTAAATAATATACACTGATTTGTTTTTTTTTTACCAAAGGTATGTAGCAGTATAAATTTTTGCCTAAATTTATGAAGAAAAATTACTTATTTGCAAAATTTATAATAAAAACAAAGAAAATCTTATTTTTTTTCTAAATTTTCGGTCTTTTTTCATTTATAGTGCAAAAAATAAAGAACTCAGGGGTGATTAATTACCACCAAAAGAAATCTCTATTTGTGGGAAAAAAATGATAAAAATTTCATATGGGTACAATGTTGCATGACCGTGCAATTGTCATTCAAAGTGCGACAGCACTAAAAGCTGAAAATGGGTCTGGGCAGGAAGCTGTAAAATTGCACGGTATTGAAATGGTTAAGTAACACATTAACAGATCTTGTTGCTCCAACTGCCTATAACTTGATAGTGAAAGGAGAAGCAGACAGATGAGCTCATCCCATTGTCACTCCACTTTCTCCTCCTTTCAGCATATTCTTTTTATTTTACTTTTTTATAGTGTCACACAGCAGCCAGGTGTGTTGCGTTGAAGTGCAATGACATGTGGTGCCGTCCTCCTCACTTGACAAAAATGCAACATGTCTGAAATTTTCTGCTCTGCACTTCACCACACACTGCTGTGGTGTGAATGTGGTACATGGAAAACAATTGTTTTATGTGCCCTTGTGGTGATTGGCTTCTATCAAATGCAGAAAAATGCTGGTCACTGTACATAGTGTGAATGAGCACTTAAACGGTGACTCCATTTTTGTAAAAAAAAATAATATACTGTACACAATTGCTACACAAGTCATGTTGTAATGGAATGTTATTAAAAATTAAATTTTCTGTTTAATCTGCAGTGCTGTAATTTTCTGTAAAATGCAATGTTGTATGGCAACCTGGAGGGTTCTGCACACAGATGGTGTAATTTCCTGCTTATGCGATTGACTTCTAATTTTCCTGGAAGCCTGTACTAAGACACAAGTCAGATTCTGAGCATCCCCTGCAACAAAAATGTAATTTTTGGTGAGATATTTCCAAAGGGAAATCACTTCTAAAGGGATGCAGACCCTGACATTTTCCTCACTAGAACCCTGCAAGTACAGCATCTGATTGATAATTATATAATAACTCCCATACAGGTTCACTCTGCCCATGGACACAGAAAAACAAACAGCTATTTCTGCGGAATAACCAAAGGTAGGAATCTGCAACAAAGTTTGGTAAAATCCTTGCAATATATATATATATCAACAACAAGGGATGATATTTCTCAACAAAGTTCTTTAACTAGAACAGCAGTGATTTTTTTTTTTTTTGCTATAGGCAATCCCTGCCTGTTCCATCACCCCATTTTTGTATTTCAATAGTTTTTATTAATTTGTAAACATTTCAACAAGGCTTGAGCAACAAGACACGCCCATGCAAGGGCTATCAAGGACATATGAAAAGTAAAAAAAAAAAACAGTGCTCTAACACCAACACAGCAAAAGGTGCGTGCACGCAGGGGCTATCAATGGCATATGAAAAGTAAAGAAAACAGTGCTCTAACCCCAACACAGCAAAAGGTGCGCCCACACAGGGGCTATCGATGACATATGAAACAGAGCAAAAGGTGCGCCCACACAGGGGCTATCAATGACATATGAAACAGAGCAAAAGGTGCGCCCACGCAGGGGCTATCAATGGCATATGAAAAGTCCAGAAAACAGTGCTCTAACACCAACACAGCAAAAGGTGCGCCCACGCAGGGGCTATCAATGGCATATGAAGAGTCCAGAAAACAGTGCTCTAACACCAACACAGCAAAAAAGGTGCTCTAACACCCACGTAGGGGCTATCAATGGCACATGAAAAGTAAAGAAAACAGTGCTCTAACACCAAGAGAGCAAAAGGTGCGCCCATGCAGGGGCTATCAATGGCAAATGAAAAGTAAAGAAAACAGTGCTCTAACACCAACACAGCAAAAGGTGCACCCATGTAGGGGCTATCAATGGCACATGATAAGTAAAGAAAACAGTGCTCTAACACCAAGGGAGCAAAAGGTGCGCCCACGCAGAGGCTATCAATGGCACATGAAAAGTAAAGAAAACAGTGCTCTAACACCAACACAGCAAAAGGTGCACTCATGTAGGGGCTATCAATGGCACATGAAAAGTAAAGAAAACAGTGCTCTAACACCAAGGGAGCAAAAGGTGCGCCCACACAGAGGCTATCAATGGCACATGAAAAGTAAAGAAAACAGTGCTCTAACACCAACACAGCAAAAGGTGCACCCATGTAGGGGCTACCAATGGCACATGAAAAGTAAAGAAAACAGTGCTCTAACACCAACACAGCAAAAGGTGCGCCCACGCAGGGGCTATCAATGGCACATAAATTACAAAAACAGTGATACAACACTGACAGTAGCTCATACCAAAGGCAGATATCCACTGCCACACAAAAGGCAAGCAAAAATGGAAAGGAAAAAGGGAGTAGAAAAGGAAGAAGAAAACAAGACCAGGAGCAGGGGTCCGGGAACGCCAATACCAAACAGTGCTATAACACCAACACAGCAAAAGGTGCACCCAAGCAGGGGCTATCAATAGGACATATGGAGCAGGGGTCCAGGAACTCCAATACCGAACAACATCACAAACCTAGATTAGCCGGGGGGGGGGGGCATGGGAAAAGCATGTGTCAACCACGGCTCCCATATTTTCAAAAATTTCCGTTGGGAATCTTTACAGATACTCGACATCTGTTCATTGAGCATCCGAGTGGTCATCCATCACCCCATTTTTAAACAAAGATGTCCAGCTTACAGGGAATCAGAAATTTTGAGGTTTATGCACACTCCATGCTTCAGAGAATTTATTTGATGTTAAGTTATACTGGTTAGTGTTGTTTAAATACTCTTTTATTTAGACATTGTGGAACTGTCAAAACTGATAGGGTGTTTTGAGGAAATACACCACACCTGTGTTTGCACATCGCACACAGATTGTTAAAAGCTGCACCTGTTCTTATCTCTCCTTTAGCAATGACCATGATCATGTAGTCACAGTCCAACTGCCTGACACCCGTATTTATGTTTGTGCTGTTATCATCTTCAATGACTCACAATGGTCTGTTCTCGATTTTTTTTTCAGGTTTTTTTTTTCTGAGAAATTATCAAAAGCAAATATTTAACTAATTTTATAATGTATTAAAGGCATAGTTGCCAACATTTCAAAATATTTTATAGTGGCATTTTCAAGGGTTTGTGAAAGACATCAGCCACCTGCAAAAGGTATAGGGGGCATGGTCAAAGCTAGACATTACCAAAAAAGTAGGGTTTTTGGCTTGTTGTGAAACAACTTTTCCGCAATGCTTTGCTATATTTTAGGTTAGGGCACAGGGCAAAAAGTGGGGGTCCCATGAAGGTAAATTCATTACAGGGCCAAGAAAATATAATAAAAGTGGTCTATAGTATGCATGGTCATTTGCATGGGTTAAGTGTATGTTACCCAAACATTTCATATTTATGATCTGTGGCCACTGTACCATGTGCTTGTAGTAAAAATTATCTTGTTTTCTTTGCATTGCTTCCTTTGTGTGAAATATTTAGTGATCCGGCCATTCCCCCTGCTTTCCTATTTCAAACTGACTATGACAGACATGGAAGCACATCCATTCCAGCAAAATCAGTTTCCTTCTTTTCATTCTACTTGTGAGCACAGCCTAACTGTACTCCAATGATCAGACTTGTGCTGCACAGCTGATCACTGGGAAGATCAGTGTACTGCTGCTTCTATGCCCCCTGCAGTCTTCACCCCCACATCCCCAAGTCTGTCATGTAGCAGAGAACAGACATCATGTGATCACATTTTTTGAAAAAAGAAAAAGTATTTATAATGTTTAAAAATAAATAAATAAATAAATAAATACACTATATTTCCAAAAGTATTGGGACAGCCCTCCAAATCATTGGATTCAGGTGTTCCAATCACCTCTTTGGCCACAGGTGTATAAAATCAAGCCCCTAGGCATGCAGACTGCTTCTACAAACATTTGTGAAAGAATAGGTCGCTCTCAGGAGCTCAATGAATTTAAGCCTGATACCGTGATAGGTTGCCACCTGTGCAATAAGTCCATCCATGAAATTTCCTTGCTACTAAATATTCCACAGTCAACTGTTATTGGTATTATAACAAATTGGAACAACTGGGAACAGTAACTCAGCCACGAAGTGGCAGGCCATGTAAAATGACAGAGCGGGGTCAGCACATGCTGAAGCGCACAGTGTGCAGAAATCGCCAACTGTCTGCAGAGTCAAAAGCTACAAACTTCATGTGGCCTTTAAATTAGCACAACAACAGTGCATAGAGAGCTTCATGGAATGGGTTTCCATGGCCGAGCAGCTGCATCCAAGCCTTACATCACCAAGGGCAATGCAAAGCGGCAGATGCAGTGGTGTAAAGCACGCCGCCACTGGACTCTAGAGCAGTGGAGATGTGTCCTCTGGAGTGACAAATCACGCTTCTGTCTGGCAATCTGATGGACGTATCTGGGTTTGGCGGTTGCCAAGAGCACTATACTTGTCTGACTGCATTGTGCCAAGTGTAAAGTTTGGTGCAGGGGGGATTATAGTGTGGGGCTGTTTTTCAGGGGTTTGGCTTGGCCCCTTAGTTCCAGTGAAGGGAACTCTTAAGGCATTAGCATATCAAGACATTTTTGACAATATAATGCTCCCAACTTTGTGGGAACAGTTTGGGGATGACCCCTTCCCGTTCCAATATGACTGTGCACCAGTGCATAGAGCAAGGTCCATAAAGACATAAATGAGAGAGTTTGGGGTGGAGGAACTTGACTGACTTTCATAGAGTCCTGATCTCAACCCGATAGAACACCTTTGGGATGAATTAGAGCAGAGACTGTGAGCCAGTCCTTCTCATCCGACATAAGTGCCTGACCTCACAAATGTGCTTCCATCACACAGCGGAAGCAAAAGAATGTTACATTACTTCTGCTTTCAACACAAAACATGCCGCCAGTCTTACACCTGCAAATCATGTAGTGTTTCCATATTTTTGTCCAACCCCTGTATGTATGTATGTACAGTGAGGAACAGAAGTATTTGAACACCCTGCGATTTTGCAAGTTCTCCCACTTAGAAATCATGGAGGGGTCTGAAATTCACATTGTAGGTGCATTCCCACTCTGAGAGACAGAATGTAAAAAACAATTCAGGAAATCACATTGTATGATTTTTAAAGAATTTATTTGTCTTGCACTGCTGAACATAAGTATTTGAACACCTGAGAAAATCAGTGTTAATATTTGGTACAGAAGCCTTTGTTTGCAATTACAGAGGTCAAACGTTTCCTGTAGTTCTTGACCAGGTTTGCACTGCAACAGGGATTTTGGCCCACTCCTCCACACAGATCTCCTCTAGATCTGTCAGGTTTCGGGGCTGTCGCTGAGGAATACGGAGTTCCAGCTCCCTCCAAAGATGTTCTATTGGATTTAGGTCTGGAGACTGGCTAGGCCACTCCAGAACCTTGATATGCTTCTTACGGAGCCACTCCATGGTTATCCTGGCTGTGTGTTTCGGGTCGTTGTCATGTTGGAAGACCCAGCCATGACCCATCTTCAATGCTCTGACTGAGGGAAGGAGGTTGTTGCTCAAAATCTTACAATAAATGGCCCCATTCATCCTCTCCTTAATACAGTGCAGTCATCCTGTCCCCTTTGCAGAAAAACACCCCCAAAGCATGATGTTACCACCCCCATGCTTCACAGTAGGGATGGTGTTCTTGGAATGCAACTCATCCTTCTTTTTCCTCCAAACACGACGAGTGAAGTTTAGACCAAAAAGTTCTACTTTGGTCTCATCTGACCACATGACTTTCTCCCATGCCTCCTCTGGATCGTCCAGATGGTCATTGGCAAACTTCAGACGAGCCTGGACATGTGATGACTTGAGCAGGGGAACCTTCCGTGCAATGCATGATTTGAAACCATGACGGTGTAGTATTCTAACAACAATGACCTTTGAAACTGTGGTCCCAGCTCTCTTCATATCATTGACCAGCTCCTCCCTTGTAGTTCTGGGCTGATTCCTCACCTTTCTTATCATCAGTGATACCCCACGAGGTGAGATCTTGCATGGAGCCCCAGTCCGAGGGAGACTGACAGTCGTCTTTAGCCTCTTCCATTTTCTAACAATTGCTCCAACAGTTGATATATTTTCACCAAGCTGCTTGGCTATTGCCCCGTAGCCCTTTCCAGCCTTGTGGAGGTCCACAATTTTGTCTCTGGTGTCTTTTGACAGCTCTTTGGTCTTGCCCATTGTAGTAGTCGTCGTCTGACTGACTGTGGGGTGGACAGGTGTCTTTAAAGAGCTCAGACAGGTGCTACTAAGTTAGATTAATGAGTGGAGTAGAGGTGGACTTTTTAAAGGCACAGTAACAGGTATTTGAGAGCCAGAATTCTTGCTGTTTCTTAGGTGTTCAAATACTTATGTTCAGCAGTGCAAGACAAATAAATTCTTTAAAAATCATACAATGTGATTTCCTGAATTTTTTTTTTTAATTCTGTCTCTCAGAGTGGGAATGCACCTACAATGTGAATTTCAGACCCCTCCATGATTTCTAAGTGGGAGAACTTGCAAAATCGCAGGGTGTTCAAATACTTCTGTTCCTCACTGTACATACATACATACAGGGGTTGGACAAAAATATGGAAACACTACATGATTTGCAGGTGTAAGACTGGCGGCATGTTTTGTGTTGAAAGCAGAAGTAATGTAACATTCTTTTGCTTCCGCTGTGTGATGGGACGTCTAGCTAACAGCTGGGAAGCCTCATTCATTGCATGTGCTGCTAGTAATGTGGAGTCATGTCAGAGTTTTCTGAGCTTCAAGGAGGGCAAACTGTTGGTGCCCACTTAGCTGGTACCTCTGTGACTGAAGTTGCCAATTTATTTGCAGTATTGCGAGGTACAGAATCAAAGGTTATGAGAGACAAAAGGAAATGGGCAGGACTGTGACCTTTAATAAGAAAACAACTGCTGAAAAAGTGACTGCAGAGGTCAATCTCAGTCTTACAAAGACCGTGTCCACCCAAGCTATGCGGAGGGCACTCCATAAGCAAGACATTCACAGACAAGAAGTCACGTGACTAGTGTGACGTAACGTGTTGGTACGCGAGGAGGAACTTCCAGTGAGTGGTGACGTCATTTCTGGTGTGGGTGTCATCTTGGTACACCTTTTACTACCCATGAAGTACACCCATAGCATGAGGTGATGAAGCTGATTTCATATGGAGCAAATGTGAATGGGCAATTTTTACTCTGCAAATGTTGTTTTTATTAAACATGATTACACTATGGAGGATCTTTGTGCTTTATCAATATGATCCTTATGGGAGAGTGAGCGGTATTACTGTTACCTGTGCCTGGAGGAGAGCTTAAAGGAGAGGAGTGTTAACCACCATTGATGGGATCCAGTGAGGATATCACTTTGTGACGAATATTACCTGTGAGGATCGTGGGGTGATCCCAAAGGCGAGCTGGCCCTTGTGGTCATTGTAAGAAGGTGAGGGGGCATTTCGGCCACTGAAGGATTTCCACCATTGCTGTGACCACGTATACACGTCATCACTTGCATGATTTAAATTGAATACAAGTGTAATTTTTTTAGTTATATTTGGACTTGTTTGGACTTTTTTGGATTTTTTGACTAATAGTTACACATTTGTTTATGTGGACCTTTATATGTGGTCTAGTGTGATTTGTGGCACATATCTCTATTTATATAGGCACATATCCCCATATTAGGGGATCCACCTTTTATCAATTACACTGTCAATTGTGTTGATTCATCCCTCAGTTGTGGATAGGGGGATTGTGGTTTCATCATTTTGCATTTTTTACAAGATTCATTCCTTGTTTTCACTTTGCCACCATATTTCATCATTAGATCCTGGAAGGATCTTATCACTTTATTTTTTAGTAATCACCATTATATGTTATTATTTATTGATGTTGATATTTTTAGTAGCACTACACTATTTATTCATTTTATTTAGTTTCACTTACCGATTTGGTATAGGTTTGAGTGGTAGCTGCTTACGGTAGGGATCATCCATTTTAGCGCAGTAGGATCCAGTATTATTATTCACAGGCAAGCTGCAATTGCCAAACCACTAGTGACCGATATTAATGCTCAGAAAAGTGCAACACCTATAAATCATGGACTATCTATCAATGTAAGACTGTAATATGGTCTGATGAATCGAGTTTCACACTGTTCCCAACCACCGGATATGTTTAAGTGTGGCAAACACCATCCCAGGCATACAACTAGCAATGTCTTGTGCCAACAATAAAGCATGGTGGTGATGTAATCATGGTTTGGGCAGCCATATCTTGGCATTCTGCAGGCCCCGTCGTCATCATGAAAGGTAGAGTCACTGCCAACAAACTATGTACAAATTTTGGCTGACCATGTGCACCCCATGGTGCAGACATTGTTTCCCAAAGACAGCACCATTTACCAAGAGAATAATGCTCAGGCTCACACAGCTGGTGTTGTAGAATCGTGGTTTGATAAGCATGCAGACGAAGTCTCGCACCTTTCTTGGGTGCCACAGTTGCCAGACCTAAATATCATAGAGCCACTCTAGCATCCCTACGAGAACTGTTAGATTTTTGCATGAAGAGTAGTATCAGATTCCATTATCCACCATGCAAGACTTATATTTGTCAATTCTCAGGCCGTCTTGGATGCCAAAAGCGGTCCAACACGGTTTAGTTTTTTTACCTTTTGCTTCCATAATGTTTTCCAACCCCTGTATATATATGTAGCGCTACCTTCTTAAGAGTTGCTGAGTATTTTTGGGTTCCCTGTCTGTTCTCAGCATACTTTGGAAGTACAGCCCCTGCTGACACCACTGTGTCTCCCTGACATTGAACCATAAAATAAACACACAGTTTAAGGTAAGCAAACATTCTAATTGTATTGAGGTCAGAGTATAAAGAGTGCATGCATATTAAGGATGACAGTAGATGTGCATAAAAGAAAAATTAAACACTCTAAAAAGTTCAACAAAGTAATAAGGCACAGTATCACTTTAAGCAAACCCAAATGTCCTGCAGGATCAGAATTTAAACATCAATTCCAGCTTCCAGATATTCCTCCCCAAGTGAGCTGAAGTGAACTATCAAGATGTCAGACTAACTCACTTTTGGGTTCTCAGTTGCTGGTAACTGTATTTATCTCTTGAGATGAATACTTTTGGTATAAGCAGTAATGTCCCCTTTTTGTATCTCATTAAAGAAAGATGCCAAATTTTCTGCGCGCTTGATGGGGCCCTAGTTGGTGCACATTAAGGTTCAGATCCCTTCTTGTGTAAGAGCAAGATTAGCCACAGAAAGATTCCCCCTTTAAGTGATATTGAAATTGGGTAATGTCTCTTTAACACAAGGGATGAAGGCAAGAATTTGCTAAAATTGAAGAAGGGTGGAAGCAGACTTCAGCAGAGGTTGAACCCATAAGGTATGTAAACTAGTCTGGTGAAGAAAGTTTCTTTGGGGCTGGAAGAGGCTTGAGATGAGACACTATTGTAATCCTGTCTCCGGGGCACTTGCTGTAGCCAGAGTCCTGTGGTTTCAGGATTTTAGTGAGACACTAAAGCAGTAGGCCATAATAATGAATGGGCTAGGCAGTCTGGGTCTCAATGTGATAATCTGTGGTGTAAGGTGTACTGAAACGAGCAATTGAAATTACCACAGTAACTTGTAGCTTCTGCTGATCTGGGTTATGGAACCCTCTCACCTGTTGGGGGAGGGGGCATGTTCTCTTGGTCCCTTTGTCAAGAACCGATGCTGATGACAGCACTATGATTTGCCTGCCTGCAGGATTGTCTGTCCTGCTTGTCAGTGATACTAGCAATCTGCAGTCCTTCTTTCCTTCTCCATGAAGGGTCCCCTGAGTCACGCATGGCCTTCTCCACACTCACACCCATCCTCTGAATTTCACCATCCACTTCCTTCCTGTAGAGCAGCAGTCACTAAATGGTGGACCGCGGTCCGCAAATGGCCCCAGCAGTGCTGATGCCCGGACCGCCAGTCCACAAAGACGGAACCAACGCTGAGCAGGGCAGTCGTCATGGCAACATGACATTACATGTGCAGCTCATTGTCTCTCTGGCTCCTGCTCCCTTCTTGTACACAAGCGTCCAGCAAGGATCCCGGCACAGCTCCTGTCTGCCCTCAAGGTAGGTTGTAGTCTTATAGGGGCACTCTGATGGGCACATTGCATGTTAAGGGGCACTCTGATGGGTACAACATAGAATGCACCCATCAGAGTACCCCTTAATATAACATGTGCCCATCAGAGTGCCCCTTAATATAAATGTGCCCATCAGAGTGCCCCTTAACACAGAATGTGCCCATCAGCATGCCCCTTATTTTATGTTAAGGGGCACTCTGATGGGCACATTTTATGTTAAGGGGAGCTCCGATGGGCCGATTTTATGTTAAAGGAGCACAAATGGGCACATACTTTGGAAAGGGGCACTCTGATAGGCACATGTGATGGAAAGGGGCACTCTGATGTGGAATATGATGTAAAGGGGCACTCTGATTGGGAAAAATAATAGAAAGGGGTACTTTGAGTGTAAGGGGGCACTCTGACGGGAATACCTGATATAAGGTGGCAATGTGATGGGGATACCTGATGTAAAGGGGCACTCTGATGGGCACACCTGATGTGATGGGAATACATGATGTAAAGTTGCACTCTGACGGCGACACCTAATGTAAGGGGGCACACTGATGGGCTCACCCTATTCGGACCTCGGCCAGAAAAACATTTTAGTGACCGGACCTCCTTGAATTTTAATTCAATACCCCTGCTGTAGAGTTTCCCAGCTACTCAATATCTATGCTTTTGCCCTTTTGCTAGCTTTTATGGGAAATGTAGTCCTTTCCCTCCTCGTCTGAGTGCAGGAGTGCCAGCATACAAGTTCAACAAGGCTTTGCTTCAACAGAGTCTAGGTAACTGAACCGCACAACACTGCCGTCTTGTGTTTAACTAACATTCTGCAACCAGTATTAATGCAGTGTGTTACATACAGTCAGGGCCATAAATATTGGGACATCGACACAATTCTAACATGCAAACTGTTGTAATTCCTACACCGTTCACCTGATTTGGATGTAAATACCTTCAAATTAAAGCTGACAGTCTGCAGTTAAAGCACATCTTGTTTGTTTCATTTCAAATCCATTGTGGTGGTGTATAGAGCCGAAAATGTTAGAATTGTGTCGATGTCCCAATATTTATGCACCTGACTGTAAATACACAGTCTAATTACGCGTGAAAAAACGTGAAGGCTTGACTCGGAAAGGTCAGCAATAACAGGTAGTGAAATCCAACTTTATCACTAACAGTATAAGTCCTTGTGATGTGACTCCATGCACTAATATTATAAAATGCGCACTCACCAGATGCACATGGAAATTTCTGCAATAAACATAAAATCTCTGCGGGGTCCCCCTTTAGATGGATCAGCCAGGAGTAAGGATCCTTCATCTGGACACCAGCCTCTTGTGCAGCTACTCTTCCTCTGGGGGTCTCCACGAGCAGTTGGCTCAGAGCCAAGCCATATATGAAATAGTCTTATAGTGTAGTATTTAAAAGGTTCATATTTATTGTGGATTAAGCTCCTTATAAAAACAAGTAAAAGTACTCAAAAATATCCTCAAACTGTGAGGAAATAAAGTGCACATGAATAAATATAAATACTTGAATCTTTCTCCAGGTGGCTGTATAAGCCACTTTTAAAAATGGCCTCCGGATCTCCGTTCGGCTCCGGCGGCGTGACGTCACGCCGTTAGGGCTCTTCCTTAATGCGTTTCGTGCAATAGCACGTTATCAAAAGGGGTGTGCCTATCGTTGGATGTCTCAATACAGTCTATTTATAGGGTAAGGATGTCCGCGCATGCACACAGTGCGCGGGCCCAATTTTCAACAGGGACACGTACAGTACAACAGGGACACGTAGGTTAAGCCGCCTGTGCGGACTACACTGCGGTCACGATCCAGGCAAATAGCTGATCTTAGTTGGAAAAGTGCTAGCTTGATGTCAATAAGTACATGCATCGATCCAATATGCCCCAATGTTAAAGTATGGACCATTTATGGGGCAGGACACATCAAATATCAATACTATACATCAATATAATGGTACATGTTTCCTTACTGTGACTGAACCAGCATCAAATTATTCAAAAAGAGAGGGGATATAAAACAGGAATCATATACTCTCCAAACTTATAATATATATATATATATATATATATATAAAAATATAAGTATAAACATCAATATGTAAAAATAAATCGATATAAAAAATAATTAAAAGTGACTAAAGGTCTTACATGATCAATATCAAAATATGAAACATTATATACTATAAACTTATATAGAAATATTATATATAATATATAAAAAAAATATATTAAAAAATGTATTAGTCTGAAAAGCAAAAAAGGAAACCTCTCAGAGAGTTAATATGCGAAATATTGTCACAGTGAGGAGTCATGTACCTACACCATACACAGGAAATAATATCAACTACCAAAAATACTTATAGAATAGAATAGGAATGAAATGTAAAAAATCCAAACCATATGTAAAATGTATAAAAAAGTTTAATTTTTTATCAATCAATTTTTTTTATATATTTTACATATGGTTTGAGCGCATGCGTGAGTAATAAACTCGCATGGTGCATGCCATGAAACTGTCGGCCGCTGCACTAATAGGACCACTGTAGGTCACTTGGCAATCGGAGACACCCCCCCACATCTCTAGGCAACAGTCTTTATCTTCTGTCAGGAACATATATGCTGCTGGTCGTTGTTTCCAGAATCCAGCGCTGCTTTCAGGTGACACCTTATTACAATCCGGGGAGTACCATGATACACATGTGACAACAATGTTTATATCCCCGGGAATGCAGTTCATGTACATCTGATTATTGTTTTATTTACTTTTGCAGCATGTAATGTTTCTGTTTACATTGATTTGAATGCATTTTAGAGGGAACATGACAACTTGGGGCGGGGCCAAGCACATTTCACTTCACTCTGATTGGTGGATGGTTTTCTTAAATAATTCTCCAGTTTCTGTCACAATTTATCTCATGCCCGATGAAGGGGTCCTGCGAGACTCCGAAACGTTGCTTTACTGTAACTATGTGATCGTTCATTAAAACTTTTGGACCCATATTGGTGATCCTCGGTGTGCTGGTGACATTCTCCCTTGCAGATTCTGTTCGGTTCCAGCTTACGGTCGCTGCAGCACCCACTTATACACACAGCCATTTTTAACGCAGGAATGTGTGCGTTTGGATTGTACACTTACATGATAAATATTCAGACTGGTCCTTTGACTCTCCCTGCCCTATATTCTGGAAATGTCTTCCAGAAGCAGGTGCGAGAAATCAGACATCCCAACTAGGACACCCTAACCAGACAAAAACAATCAATTGCTGCTCCGCTGGCTACAGTTAACCCAAAAACTTAATTTCACCTGCAGCCTAACTAGAGGAGGGTGCAATGTTGGATTTCAAAAAATGGAGGTGGCCATTGCTGATCTAAAATTATAAAAATGTTGGAGGCTTCAGTATTTCAGCCACTGAGTTGGCAGATCAGAAGTTTAGACTTTACTGCATGTATGTTTGTTCTTAGACTGTGGCTAAGAAAGGAATAAAGCAAGCTGGCTACCATCACAGCCAACACAACTAGCATGTTCACAAGATGATCAGCAATGGTAGCCCCAAATATCTCTCAATATAGAATTAACTTTAACCACTTACCTACAGGGCACTTATACCCCCTTCCTGCCCAGGCCAATTTCCAGCTTTCAGCGCTGTCGCACTTTGAATGACAATTGCGCGGTCAAGCAACACTGTACCCATATGAAATTTTTATCATTTTTTTGTGACAGATAGAGCTTTATTTTGGTGGTATTTAATCACCTCTGGTTTTTTTATTTTTTCCTAAACAAACCAAAAACCACTGAAAAGTTTGAAAAAAAAATGTATTTTCTTAGTTTTTGTTATAAAATTTTGTAAATAAGTGATTTTTCTCCTTCACTGATGTGCGCTAATGAGGCTGCACTGTTGGACACTGATGGGCACTGATGAGGAGGCACTGGTAGGTGGCACTAATGGGCATTGACAGGCATCACTGATAGGCGGCACTGACTGGCACTGATAGGCGGCACTGACTGGCACTGATAGGCGGCACTGACTGGCACTGATGGGTGGCACTGAAAGGCAGCTCAGATGGGCACAATGTGGCATTGATGTGCCCTGGTAGGCACTGATATATGGCACTGATGTGGCACTGATGAGCACTGGCATAAGGCACTGATGGACACTGACAGGTGGCACTGCTGGGGCTACACTGATCATCAGGGCACACTGATCATCAGTGCCCTGTTGATCTGTGTACATGTCCCCTCACAGAAAGCCGATTACCGGCTCTCCTCTCCTCACGAGCTGTCAGTATGACAGCTCGAGAGAAGAGAAATGCCGATAACCGGCATTTCCCTGTTTACATGTGATCAGCTGTGATTGGACACATCTGATCACATGACCGAGCCAACATCTTTGGCGGTTTCCGGGATCGGTGATCCGCTGTGTCCAAGGGACACAGCACATCGCCGAACACCGCGCTGCACGCTCCCTGAGCCACGCATGCGCAGTGAGACTGGGAGGACGTCATATGACGTCCTCCCAAAACGAGAGAACCACCTTGCGCCCCTCATTACTATATGGCGGGCGGGAGGTGGTTAAAGAAAACCTTTCCTAAGGGAAACATGGACTTCTTACTTTGTGGCATGCTGAATGTCTGGCTGTCGTGCTGAGCCTCTGGCTTCAATATTTTAAGTCGCTAACTCAAAACATTCAAGTAAAGAATTCTGTTTCCTGAGTTCCATACATATTCCAGGTTAGTGATTCAATGTATTGAAGACAAAGGGTAAGAAAACTAGTCAAGCAAGTAGCAGTTTCAGAAGGAGGTTGGCAATAGCAGCCCCCCATATCTCTCTCTTTAAAAAGTTTTACTTTAAAGGGAAGATACATTACAGTGAATCCATCTACAGTCCCACCAGCTGGGGACATCTAATACCACAATACAAATGCACTCTGCATACAAATGAAGGCTCTCCCTAGTGACATTTCTGGTTGGATAAACTTTTGTCTGCAGAGCAATGTAACAACAACAAAACAGGATTCATTGCCACATAAAAGAGTCTACAGTCTTGGGTGGGGAGCCTTGCATGAGAAAACTAGCAAGTTACACTTTTGTCTGACAATCATGTACACATCAGTCAGCTCAGCACAAATGGAGATCCATTATGGTTTTATCAGTTCTCCTTGTTTACATGCTTCACCTATGAGTAGCAACAGACAACACTGACTAACAAATCCAAATGGAAAATATAAATCAGACAGGTCTGAAAACTTTGTCTAATCACTATTGTGTCCCCCCACCAGCCTGTCAGCACTATTCCTCTAATAGGCATAACCATGCATGCTCAGGTCCCCCAAATGAGTGGGTTTATGTCTGAGCCCATGGAAACAGACTTCTCATGATGGCTGGATTATGTGTGCATGTACATTTCTTCCCTTATGTCTATGGCCACCTTAAATGTTAGTAACAAATATAGTCATTAACTATAGTTAGGGCTTTTTTTCTCAGATAAGGTGCAGGAACTCCCCCTTTCTGAGTTCCCCCTTGTCTCCGCCCCCTACCTTCCTCTGAGCACCATCCTTTGGTTCCACCCCTTACCCACCTCCCAGTTCTGCCTCTATTAGAGAGTATAGAAACGACTATCATTTTGTGGTACTAAATAATTTGTATGGAATTTCTTAATGATAACTAGAAAAACAGTAAAATAGATACCCTGCAGCCAGCAATAATAGGTCCCCCCAGCAACAACAGACCCCGCTCCAGCAACAGTAGATCCCCCACACAACAATAGACTTCCCCAGCAACAATGGACCCCACCCCAGGAACAATAGGTCCCCCCAACAATTAGAGTTGCCACCTCATCCCTTTAAAACCAAACACATATCAATTACAAAGGTTCTGCGATTAATTACCGTGGTAATTAAACTCACTTAGTGCCTTGTGTGCATTAACTTAGCCTCAGAACCTGTGTAAATAATATGTGTTTGGTTTTAAAGGGATGAGGTGGCAACCCTACCAACAATAGACCCCACTCGTGCAACAATAGGTCCTTGCAGCAACATTAGACCCCAACACCAGCAACAATAGATCCCCCACATAACAACAATGGACCACCCACAACAAAACTTCAACCATCAACAGCAAAAGATCTACCCCAGCAGCATTACCTCCCCCTGTAGCAACAACAGATCTCACAGCAGCCAGCAACCTCTCTCTCAACAGTAGAACTCTACCAGCAACCTAAGACCCCATCAGCAACAATAAATACCCCGCCAGCAACAATAGACCCTCACACAAAAACAGTCCCCACCAGTGACAATAGACCCCCCAGCAGCCAGCATCAATAGATCCTCCAGCACACCCCACACCCCTTGCCATTTCATACATTCAGTTCTGGTACTGCGTTTGCCCGCATTCCCACTGAAAAGAAGCCCTGACTATAGTAATTAAAGCTGTTGAATAAACTTGACTTGTTTTATTTTTGAAAGGCAAGCATCCTTTCTTGAACACATTGGAGTTGATTTACTGAACTAGAGAGTGCAACATTTGGTGCAGCTCTGCATAGATGCCAATCAAACAACAACAAAGAAAAATTCCCAGCTAAACTTACCAGCCAGTCTGCAACAGTCCGAATAGTCCTGTCTAACATTTCATGTTAAAAACAGGGGTTTAGTTTGCACACATTTGCAATACATGTGTAAGCTGCAGAGTGACTTCATGGCACCACAGTATTATCTGCAATCCTAATTCTTTACATTTTGAGAGCCTCCATAGTAGAAGCACATATATCATAATGGATAGATTGAGGGCAGGTAAGCCTGGGAGGCGCCCACTGGGGGCGCACTGGACACCCAGCATATAGCACAATGGCAGAAAAGGTGTCCAGTGTGCCCCTGTGCCTTTAAGAAGAGTGGGTTCCCTCCAGGCATATACCTTATAAACAGGGACACATTAGTCCAGCAGGGTCCTTGGTTTGGGGAAAGACTGCCAAGATGTACCCTTTCGGCTGTCAGTCTGAGCACACCTTTGGGGAGAGACCAGTCAGGGTACCCAGTGGGGTTTGGAACCTATGAATTTTTAAGGACTTGAGATACCTGTTACTGGACCTACTGCCTTTTGTGGATTATCACCAGATCATGGACCCTAAGGGATATTTGCTACCTTCTTATGGATTTACTGCCTAAATGGACTTTTGCCTTGGAGGACTGCTTTGCAGGATTTTCCATCTGCCTAAGGTACGACAACTTCATGAGGCACTAGAGAACTTTGTACAGGAAAGTGTGTGGAAGATGTTTCTGAGAACTGTGTGTTGCCTTTTACTACCTCAGTAAAAGATTTATAATGTTCATCTAAATTGCCTGGTTTACGTTTTTCTAAAAGGGTGCATGTAAGGTGTAAGTCATATCAAAGAACAGGGCTTACAACAAGGGACTGGAAAGATTAGAGAAGATACAGTACAGAGTCTAACGAGCAGAATGCTGTCCACAGGAGGCTATATTGCCATTGTTAAGGACTACCATATTGCTAAAGCAACCAACTAGCCAGGAGATGGGGGACATAGCAAAGCTGATGGTTACTCATCTGACAGCTGATGGTTACTGGTAGTGAAGGGATGTTATGCTTGGCCCTTCACTAGCATCCGGTTCCCCACATACTGGGATCGGGTCTGTTGCACAGAGCACCTAGAGGCCCAGCCTGGGAATCACGAGAAATATGGAAGGAGAACAAGCATGAAGTAAAAGAAAAGTGTATTTTCTTTATCCAATTGTAACATTTAGGGCATTGTCAGTGCCCCCTTTAATAAGGGGGAGTGAGGTGATGGAATAGCTGAGTTGGTGGAGATCAGTAAATTTTCTGTGCTACTAGCTAGGTATTTGTAACATTTTTTTATATGTATACACAAATGTTTTGCCTTTAATTTTATTTTAAAACTGAATGGGTTGTTTTAGATGGTGAGGGTTTACAAATACATTAAAGTAGCACAGTGCTGAATAGCAAACAATGTCCTGGTCAGGAAGGGGATAAAACCTTCCGGAGGTCAAGTAGTTAAAGTGAAACACCAGCATGTCTTTCCTTACCCTTGTCTCTGTCACTGAGGCCTGGCTTCCATACTGCAGATATTTCCTAGGCAGACTGGACTCCCACATGATAGTGACTGCATTCTGGTAGGTCTTGTCTCCTCTAACCACTGACACCAATGCTTTTGCTATAAAGTATAGATGTACTTTTAAGACAACATGCACTTATCATATTTGCTCTTCTTGTAACCCACTTTTCCCCTCCACTGGTGCGTACTTACCTTCCTATGGCCGTGTCCTCTGGTGTTTGTGTACATCCAGTGCCTGAAGTCTCACTTCATACAGCTCCATAGACTTCTATGGTACCATTTCCCTTCACTTCCGACCTTGGGACACAGCTCTATAAAGGTTTATGGAGCTGTAATGTACAAGTGCAGCCAGGAGAGTGAGGAAGCTGCGGCCAAAAGATCCAGGTAAGTAGTGTTGGGCTTGATGTTCAAGTCGAACATATGTTCGACTTGAACATCGGCCATTCATGTGCTCGGCGAACACAGTGCACTGCGCCCTGACAGTGCATTGTGATTGGCCAAAGCAATGCACCTGACCAGAGGTCAGGTGCAACAGCACATGATGACGTTACAAGGGGGTAGGTGACCCGCCCCCCCCCGTGACTTCATTACAGTATTTGAGAACTGTCATCCCAACGTGGGAGCCAACATCAAGAGCGGAGCATTTTTTTTTTTCCTTTTTTTGGGTCAGTGGTGGCGGAGGGCATTGTGATTGCTGTTGGGTCTACTTCGGGGGACATTTTTAAATTTTTAGTTTTTAATAAAGGATTGTCAAAGACTGTCTACTGTCCTTTTTTACAATACACTTTTTTTCTGTGACTGAGTAGTGGTTCCATGTGCCCCATACTCATTCACTTGGGGGGGCCAGGATCTGGGGGTCCCCTTATTAAAGGGGCTTCTAGATTCCGATAAGCCCCCATCCGCAGACCCTTAAAACCACTGGTCATAGTTGTGGGGAAGAGGCCCTTGTCCACATCAACATGGGGACAAGATGCTTTGGGGGGGAGCCCCCTCTGCCCCAAAGCACCCCCCCATGTTGAGAGCACATGGCCTAATATGGTTCAGGATGGGGGGACACTTGCTTGCCCCCCCCCTTTTTTCCTAACCTGCAAGGCTGCATGCTCG